TACATTTTGGTCAGCACAGTTTGTAAACATGTCACAACTAGTCGGTAACAGCCCATAAAATTCTTCCAGCAATTTGTCTCGATTTTGTTTGCGGCAAAACATGTTGTATATGGGTGTAACAGCTTGGAATAAAGCTTTACTCGAAGAAACATTTTTAAGAGCATCATTTATTTCATGCCCAAACAGATCGTCCTTGATAAGTTTTGTCTTAATCGCTTCGACAATGGAAACAAAATTTTCTTCCGACAGATGTGTTTCTTGCTCGGAGATACTTGACAAAGAATCATTTTCGCGATGTTTGGAGTTGGTATGCCTCGTCAAGCCGCCTTTCGACTTGCATATTTTTGTGCATTTGGGACAAGGAAACGACTTTTTACCTTCGATTTCTGTCACAGCCTCAACAAATTCAGCATCGATCTCATCACTTTCAGCTTCAACAACAGCGACAGACAAATTTAAATAAAATGCATCATCTGACAAGTCATCGGCTGGCGTTTCGAACCACGTCTCCGTTTCGTAATGCTCACTGGGGTCATCAACATACTCATCAGACAAATTGTATTCTTCCTCAATATCTATTTCACTCTCCATAGCGTTTTCTTTCCTTTTAGGCGTGAAACAAGCCCACTATTGAGAGTTTTATACAGCCTAATGTAATTTGACACTGTAATTTTATACATTGAAATCAACCGGAAATCAACATGATGCACCTTATTGTGCACGTGACTAGTTTTTCCTTTGAACCTCAACATAATTTGCCGCCCCTTTTGAAGTTTGCCGGCTAGCCTAACCATCCCCTTCAATTAACTGTGGGCAAAGCGACTGCAATGAAAAACGTTTTGTCAGCTCACTCTGAGGCCAGCGAAATAATCTCTTCCCATCCTTACATGGCGTATTCGTGCAAGTGGAAAAACAAGATGGCGACCGACGAAGAGTTGGCAGAATTTATAAACAATCATAAATCGCAATTATTAAGTTGCGGAATTCCTAAACTCTACTGGAATACGTTGTGCGAAAAACTTAAGCAAGAGGTAAACAGATTTAGAGCTTTTTAGTGCCAATTCAGTGCCGTTTAGAAGTAAATACAATTTTAACATACGGTACAAATACAATTTTAGGCCACTATTTGTTGCATATTAGTTTCTCATCCGGGGCTTCACCTAAAGTTGATGTGGGCGGGTGGGCCATTACCATTATGCCATTATTTATAGCATTGCAAAACAGCACAAAATTATTGAATGCAACTGAAACCATGTTTTCATATTAAAAACATGGCCGCTCCACATGACCGCTCCACATGACCACATGTGAAATAATCACAGAATAGAGAAATAATTTTGTAGCCAAGTCGTCTCGCGTTTTTTCCCCTGCCCCTGGCTTCCGGTAGAACTTTTACGTAAATGCGAGAGAAACTGGCAGTTTTGGTATGAAATTTCGTATCTCAACTGAAACTTTTGGTTTGGGAACGTTTCTAATTGTCTTTCTTTCAAATATCATTTTGAAAACATCACAAAATTTATAATAATGGTCAAAAATGGCAATAATGGTAATAATGGCGAACAAGACCGTTTTCTTAAAAAGCATGTGGGCGGGGATGAGAAACTAATATACAACAAATAGTGGCCTTAATTGAAATATGATTTATGTGCAAAAAATCCGCGCTGCTGCAAACAGAGCGAAGTGATACAATCTTGAACGGTCGAAGCCAGTGTAGGTAGTGCCAATAATATCACGCTTTCGTTGGTAGGCATGCAACTACCTGAAAATACAAGGAGAAATTTGAGGCTTTGAGTGAAGGGTCCTTTGCACCCAATTCACAACTTTGAATAACTTAATATATGGCTTGTTACTATAATAATTTAAACGACTGATTAACTCTTATACATAAATCAAATGTACCTAGCTTTGTTCTAGTCTATGCTCTTGTACACTAGAACAATTGTAACTAGGCATGTGGGCCAGAGTGTATTCCATGTAAACTCTATGCTGGAGATACGCCAACACGTACGATCCTTTACGCCAATTCATCAGAGATTTTCATAAAATCAAGGACAAACTAATCACTTGTTTTCACCAACGATTTTGTAACCTCATGCCCTCATGTGGGTTATCCAAAGTTGTGATTTCGGTGGCAACAATGTAAACAAATGTTAGCTATAAATTCTGTCCGTATTTTCCAATGCCTGTATATAGTAACATTGGCTGACGTTAGAGAGAGTAAAATTATTTTACCAATCTTTTCATCTGCCCCTATTAAACTTTACAGAATTAGAAGTGATACAATGCAGCTTAAATACAGGTGAAGAAAAACATGCCTCGCAAAAGAAGTGTGTTGTTCCAGGAAAGGTCCACACTCCCCTTATTACGGAGGAAATATGTGCTGCATTGAGAGGGAAAATATACTTATAGTAATAATACTGTAGCATATCGAAGGGGATTAAATTTTCATCTTGTTGTGGGGGGGGG